GAAACAGTGCAACATGGCACACAGGTCTCGCATGGTGGCCCACTCATTGGTGGTGAAGTGGTGCTGTTCCGCAGAGCGACTGACCCGTACGTGCTGCAGCTGAAACTCCACTATCGCCTGCTGCTGCTCGCACAGTCTCTCCAGCATGTGCAAGGTGGAGTTCCACCTTGTGGGCACATCGCATATGAGGCGGTGAGTGGGAAGGCCAAAGTTACGCTGCAGTGCAGACATGCGAGCAGGGTGAGAACGCCGAAAGAACGCACAGACGGCCCGCCTTTTCTGCAGCAGCTCTGATATATCTGGGTAGTTTTTCAGGAATTTCTGCACCACCAAATTCAGCACATGCGCCAGGCAAGGGATGTGCATCAAACCATCTAGGCCCAGAGCTGCTACGAGATTTCACCCATTATCGCACACCACCAGGCTGGGTTGAGGCTCAGTGGCAAAAACCACTCATCGGTCTGTTGTTCCATGCCCATCCACAGTCATTTTCCCCTGGCTGTGCTGAAGTTGGTGGTCAAGGTGTTACGCTGACTGGACAAGGAGGTGGCAGAGGAGGAGGAAACGGAGTAGGAGGAGGAGGTAACAGAAGGCAAAGAGAAATGCCCTTCAATCCTCAGTGGCGGAAGGACATGCGCCAAACTGCTATCTGCCTCAGGCCCAGCTGTCACTACATTTGCCCAGTGTGCAGTTAGGGAGATATAGCATCCCTGCCTGTGCTTACTGGTCCACGTATCAGTGGTTATGTGGACCTTGCCACAGATGGCGTCGTGCATTGCACATCTGATTTTGTCCGCCAATTGGTTGTGCAGGGAAGGGATGGCTCGTCTGGAAAACTAGTGGCGGCTGGGAACCACGTACTGTGGGACAGCCACCGCCATCAGGTTTTTAAAACTGTCCGTCTCCACCAGGAATTTTGAAATGCTGGCATTCAGTGTCAGGGATCGCGGGTGGGTAGGGCGGTACTTCCTCTTTCTCTCCAGTGTTTGGGAGATGGACAGCTGAATGCTTCCATGGGACAGTGTGGAGATGCTTGCCACATCCTCTGTTTGCTGGATGGCAGCTGCCACTGTCACTCCAGAGGTGGAGGAAGAGGCCGAGACAGCAGCAGAAGAGGAAGCAGGAGGAGCCTGAGACCTTTCTTGGTTTTTGAGGTGCTTTCAAAATGCCTTGTGGGCACGTCGCATATGAGGCGGTGAGTGGGAAGGCCGTGAACGGCATCAGCGGCACTGGTCATGACGCTATGCTTGTGTAATGACTGCTTCTGGAGGCAGTGAACAAGTTACCAGGTGACATTTTCAGTAAAATTCCTGTTAATGCTTACATCAAGGCCATTTAGAATCAAAATGGGCTTTAATTATGCTATCTGGATTAAATGGCCTTCTTTATTTTGCTGAGTGTATTCTAAATGATGTAGAACCTACTCAGGTTGCCCTCTGAAAGCTTTTCCAGTTTGCACATCTATTTTACACATTACCTTCACTAAAATGAGAAATCCTTTAAAAGACTGAGCTGGGGTGAAACATGAATGTTTTTATCTCTCTGATAAGTTAGTACACCCTGTTCAGAACATACCACTGGAGCTCAATCAGCTGTCCCACTGCCATTTGCATCAGGACCCAGCATTGTGACATGCTAAAAGAACTAAACTGGCTGTCGCTGGAATCCAGGCGCACCCTTCATCTTTCCAGCCTTGTGTTTAAGAGCTTTTCTGGGAAGCTCCCACCCTACCTGAGCAGAATGCTCTCCTCGGCTGTTCCCACACCCTTTAAGCTTCAATCCAGTACCAGCACTTTATTTAGTCTACCTCAATACAAAAAGTAAGCGGCCCAATCCTCCTTTTCCTACAGAGCACCGCAATTATGGAACGACCTCCCGCACACTTTAAAATCTTCCCCAACAATTTGTGGAACCAAACGAAAATAGGGAAGCTAAGCCCAACCATAGCCACTATGTGGTGGTCCTACTTACAATCCGCCAATGAGAACACAACCAGGCTCCCAACACCCTGATGAGAAACAGGGGTTCCACGTCAGACATCTACTCAGCGTAGGCAAGATGGGATTCCTAACCAAAGACCCTGCAGCATATACACAAACCACAAGCCACTGCAGGGTAACCCACCACGATTACAGATACTCCTTTTAGGTTCCCCAGACATATCCCCGCGCTGGTACCGCAACTACCACCCCTCCCTTTCAGTCGCTCCTTGTTCTCCCCCTCTCATCCCCGAGCACTAAAGGCAAACCCAGATAAAGAGCAAGATCCACCACTCTGAGCACTGAACGAAACCCTAGAACACTAAGGTACCTAACGTGTCGCAAACCATAAGAGATTCAATAAGATTAGATCAAGGGGACAGAGCCCTTTCAGGGGCGCAAATCACTTCAGACACCTGTACTGAGCAACCCATACAGACTGACCCCACCGAGTGATGCTGATCCTCCTCTTTCGCTCTCCCTTCAAGTTAGTGGTACCCACATCGGTCCATCCTTGCAAGCGCGCTGTCTTGGCGTCATACTTGATTCTGGCCTCACCTTTGAGCCTCACATCCAGCATGTTGCCAAATCCTGTAGATTCCATCTTAAAAACATAGCCCTCATCCGCCCCTTTCTTACACAAGATGCTACCAAGGAGCTTGTCCATGCTCTAGTAATTTCCTGCATGGATTATTGTAACCCTCTCCTGATCTGGTCTTCCCAAAAGCCGTACTGCACTGCTACAGTCCATAATGAACGCTGCTGCCAGACTGATTTTCCTCTCTAGTCGATTCTCTCACACCTCACCCCTCTGCCAGTCCTTACATTGGCTTCTTGCATGCTATAGGAGTCAATTAAAGGTACTAATTCACACCTATAAAGAACTGAACAACTCTAGCCCCTCTTATATCTCCTCACAGATCCATAGGTATGTCCCTTCTCGGTCTCTCTGCTCTGCCCGTGACCACCTCCTGTCCGTTGTCCGTTGTCCGCACCCGTACGGCCAGCTCATGCTTGCAGGACTTCTCGCGGGCAGCTCCTTTCCTATGGAATAGCCTGCCTACCGCCATCAGACTCTCTCCTAGTCTTGCATCTTTTAAGAAGTGCCTTAAAACCCATCTCTTTAGGAAAGCTTATGGCCTCCAAGACTAACCTCTAACTCACATACCTGTCTCTTGCTTTCTCCTAAAGAGCAGCCCACCTTATTTGACAGCAAATTCCTGTCCTAATGTGTTTTACACCTCCTATAGAATGTAAGCTTGATTGAGCAGGGTCCTCTTCAACCTGTTGTTCCCGTAAGTTTTTTGTAATTGTCCTATTTATAGTTAAATCCTCCTCTCATAATATTGTAAAACGCTACGGAATCTGTTGGCGCTATATAAATGGCAATAATAAGAATAAAAATAATAATAATAATGGGGAAACACATAATAACGGACAGGCAATTCACGGACAGGCAGCAGTCACGCCACACAGCGCCCCCTTAACCACAAGCCGGCAAACACAGTCTGATCCCAATAGATCGGCTTGGGGATGTCCGGGGAAGGGCTCATGGATCACTTCTCTAGGGCTGTCTGTCTAGACAACCCGTCAGCATTTGCGTTTTCTTTACCGGGTCTGTAATTGATAGTGAAGTTGAAGGGCTGTAGGGCCAGGCTCCAGTGCAGCAGTCTGGCATTGTCTCCAGAGACCCGGTTAAACGAGTTGTTGTCCGTGAGCTAGGTGAATTGCTGTCCATAGAGGTAGGGCTGCAGCTTCTTGAGCGCCCACACCACCGCCAGGCACTCCTCCTTGATGGCGGCATAGCTCACCTCCCGGGGTAATAGCTACTGGCTGAGGTAAGCCACCGGGTGTTCCCTGCCATCATCCCCAACCTGGCTCAGCACCGTTCTTATCCAAACATGGAGACATCTGTGTGAACTAGAAAGTGTTTTTTCAGGTTAGGAGCAGCCTTAAGGGCTTGGAACGCCTGCTCACAGGCTACCAGTCTGGGCAAGTATTTCCGGGTCAGGTCTGTGGCTAGGGCACTGTAATTGGGGACAAACTTTCTCTAGTAGCCAGTGGTCCCTAGGAAGGCCATCACCTGGGGCTGGTGCGGGGATGGGGCCAGCTAGCTTCTGCCTCAACTTTGGCTGGCTTGGGTTTCTGCTTCCCACACCCCACTTGGTGTCCTAGGTATTGCACTTTGGCCATCCCTAGGTGGCACTTGCTGGACTTTAGGGTTAATCCTTCTTTCCTAATCCTACATGTACCAGATGCTCCTCCCAAGTGTTGCTGTAAATGGCGATGTCGTCCAGGTATGCATAATCCTGGAGGCCATCCCACCGCCAATCCACCATCCTTTGGAAAGTGGCTGGGGCATTCTTCATCCCAAATGGCATTACCTTAAATTGGTACAGGCCAAATGGGGTGACGAAGGCCGACTTGGGAACAGCATCTGTCGCTAGGGGAATCTGCCAGTATCCCTTGCACAGATCTATGGTAGTGAGGTACCGGCACCTAGCCATCCAATCTACCAGCTCATCTATACGGGGCATGGGGTAAGCATCGGATAACGTTTTGTCATTGAGCCTCCTGTAGTCTGCACAGAGCCTCGTGGCTCTGTCTCGTTTCGGGACAAGTACTACCGGGTAGGCCCAAGGATTCTTGGACGGCTCGATGACCCCCAGCCGGAGCTTCACTTTAATCTCCCGACTCGTATTCTCTCGAACCGCTAGCTGGAAGAGTGCTTATTAATAGTTTGGAGAAAAATCCCCAACTGTCAAAAGTTGCTGGAAAGGAGAACCAAAGTTCAGCTTCCAACAGATATTAACAGGAGGTGTGCCCATACAAAAGAGTATATACCTCAATTACCATGGTTTATACAACATCAATAAAAATAAAAAATAAAAATCTTTAATAAAAAAATTAATAGAAACAACAGTGAACGGTAAAAAAGGGGAAAAACAGTGCTACCCTTGCAGGGTCTAGATCTTAAATGGAGTCTAGCTAGTATAGTGCAAGTATAGGGGAAAGTAGGGCAAAAAAAACGATATTGTGCCTGGTATCCAATAGGTTAGAGAGACAGAGAGTATAGGTTATCAAAAACCAGAGGTATTTATTGTAATTATAATATCTAGATTCAGGAGGAGATAGTCACTCCTCTAGGTCTAAAGACAATTACTGACTAAAAAAGACAAAAATGGAGACAGTGGGACAGTGTATAAAGTGTCTACCTGTAGACTTAGTACATATAATAATATCAGGTGCTACTAGTAGTAGGAGCAACCCTGAAGGAGTACATATATTAATTGATCAAGATGCACGTTCCTCTAAGTCTAGAGGCAATCTTAAACCCATAGTATAAACTATTGTCTTGTGGACTTAGTCCATATAATAGAATCAGGTAAAGGAAGCAACCCCAAATCGATAGATATGTTAATAGATCAATTAACTCTCAATTTAGAGTGCCAAATATCTTACACCTGAGACAAATATATCTGTAGCCACAGTGGCAACCAGTATGAAGATGGTAAAGAACGCCTAAATCAGCCAACCTTATAGACAGTGGCTAAACAGTGTCCAAATACTAAATTGTACACACAAAGATGCGTAATGGCAGCTTAAGAGAGCTTATTTAAATAGTCATAAGGAAAGTGGACTTATTAAAAGAAATCCCTAAATCTCCTGTCTCATAGCTTATTAAATAGTCATAAGGTAATAGGCTTATAGAGGGCTCCCTCGATCTCCTGTCTCATAGTAGAAAATCACTAACCAGGTATAAGTATCGATAGCCTTAATGAACGTAAACGTCCCAATAAAGCAGCTAGATTAACCACCACAACCGGCATCTAAGTCTGGCGTCCTTGCTGACGCGCGTTTCGGCGCTATGTGGCGCCTTTATCAAAAGCAAACACAGTTTAAAGTAGCACTTCCACTTCCATATTCTGCCAATTGGTGGCAGAGAACATGGGGGTGCTGCAGAGGGCAAGCATCAAGAGATCATTCCCAACTAGTTTTCCACACCATGCAAGCAGACATGTATAACTCCACAAGTGACAGTGGTGGTTTAAATATAACAGTAAACAGCATGTATCTTGTCACGCTGGCACACTGTATGTTTGGGGAAAGCCTAGTGTAATGATACAACTATAATTAGAACACACTGATTTTCTAATTTACTTCAACGTACTTAAGCTGAAAGCACTTTTTCTATCCAACTTCAATATCTGAAATCTGTGCAGCAAAAAGGGATTAGGGATAATGAATTCTTTTATCAAAAAATGTCTTGCTCTAAAATCATTATATACATAAATAAGAAAAGAACATTGCAATCTAAGAATTAAAAAGCTTTATCTGCTTGGGTTTCCAATACAATATAAAGCAGTTAAACACTTTAACCTTTCTTTGTAGCATCAAAGTTCTAGATTCCCTACAGAAAAGAACAATAAAAATGAATTGTAATCTTGCAGGGCATGTTCTTATGGCCAAATAATACTTCCACAGTTATACCCAATGACTATTTTTTTTATTTTTATATTACTTAGGTTTTCCACAAATTATTTTGAAAGGGCACAACAAGGCACTTGATGCTAAGTGGATGCAATATACATGTATGTAAGTAGTGGGGAATTTTCCGATGCTATCTTATACATAAATTAACCCCATTAAACCCTCCCAATAACGACAGACAAGTTAGTATGGATGAAACAGGCCACAGCATTTATTATAACATAAATAAATAAATACTGCATAATACATCCATAACTTACTTTATTTATTCAAAATGTCCTTTCTGTAACCAAAATTGTTAAACATAAATAAGCATTAATTAACATATATACATATATAACAACACACAGTGTTATACAGTAACCCAACCGTCCTTGCCAATAAACATACCGTGGTTCCTAATCACCACTTCCTCTCACCTCCCCCCTCGTCATAAATCATACCATTCCAATGCCCGCCACCAGCCGACCTTATCCACGCTCAATGGGCCAGATGCCTAAAGTTAACCGTTTAAAGCAGGGGAGGTTGAGACTTGCCAACTTATTAACTCACTCCAACCATAAAAACATAACCCCACAAACATACCACCGGCTAGCAGCGACTAACTACCAAAAAAAGGGGTGGGCGGGCGGGAAGCTGTCTGCTGGCCCGGTTCCCAAGTGGCACTGAGGTAAGACCACTCCCCCCACTAACTACCTAGAAACTTAATCTGGTGCATCTGGTACATGTAGGATTAGGAAAGAAGGATTAACCCTAAAGTCCAGCAAGTGCCACCTAGGGATGGCCAAAGTGCAATACCTAGGACACCAAGTGGGGTGTGGGATTCCTAGCACTTCTGATATATGCATAGTCGACTTTTCGGTATATGCGGTATTAAAAAAACTACCAAAACCCAAGGATACTCAGACTCCTTATATTTGGGGAAATTATCACAGCTTTATTAATAAATAAAAACATATAAATTATTAAAGGTCATTGTCAACATATTTAACATAACATCTCAGCCCCAACTCTTAACAATTCGACCCTGACAATGACCCCATAAACAAACAATATTAACATATATTAACAGAAATAACATCTAACCACTTAAACCATTGCCACCGAGGGCATGATTTACCATGTTCCACCATGTAGGGTTATACCAAGATACACCCTACACAAACCGGGTTCGGAGCTACCGATGACTCCAAAATCGGTTACATCTGGAAAAACAACCTAAACCCCAACTTATTTATCCATCCCCCGCAGCCATGACCAAACGGGATCCAGAACCTACTTAAAAGGAGGGAGGGTGGGACAAAACAGGTAAGTGAGGATTAATTAAGATGGCCCTTGATCTAAAATGGTCCCATAATCCAAAACCCCACCCCCACTTTCTATAGCCAAACCCCCACATTAACACATCCTATGCCTGTCTCCTAGCCATGTCAAGGCCCATACCATTTAGCTGCGCTGCTCCATGGGCTACAATATAGGTAGGCTGCTAGGACAACCAGCAATAAAGAGGCAGCAATAAACAATGGCTCATAGAACTCTGTTTGAAATGGCAAGATGTCTGTTAAATGAAAGTAAATCACCAAAGGCATTATGGACAAAAGCCGTAATGACTGCTGCTCAGATCTGAAACAGGTGCTTTCTAGTGGAAACCCCATATTATCTTTTTCTGGGCAAAACACTTTCTAAAATTAAGATTTGGGGATCAGAATGTTTTGCATATTGATCTGATGGAAAATAGATTCAAAATGTGAGAGATGACTCTTTGTTGAATATGACAACCCTTCTTTTCCTGACACCAGCTAATACATGCTCTCCTCACTTATTTCCCGATTGGTCGGTAAGTGATGATGTGCTTCAGAGCATGTGCACCAGTGCAGGTCTATGTTCAGGGAAATTTCCCCAAACATAGACAAACGCACCAAAGCAGGGAATCCCTCTAATCTATGTTCAGGGGAAAATTCCTTGCTCTGGTGCACTTGTCTATGCTCTGGGAAATTCCCGAACATAGACCAACTCTCTAACGTGGGGAATTCCTTGAATACCCGTGCTAGAGAGCTGGTCTTAAGTCTGAGTCGTCGTTAAACAGGTAAGTCGTAAAATGAGGACTACCTGTAGATAGGAAATGCAGCCTACTCCTAGGCATGGGAAGTTGTATTCACTAACATTTACGATCATAGATATCCCAGCACACCTGTAGATAGGAAAGTCAGTCTACTCCTAGGCATGGGAAGTTGTATTCACTTGCATTTAAGATCATAGACATCCCAGCAGTCCATGACCTTAACCAGCCCCAGGCCTCAACTGGTGCCAAATTGAGATCCCAGGGGAGAAATGTGATGAATGTTCTACTGATGATTCTCCAAGGGTGCAAGCTTAATTTGTGGCTTTGTGAATAGTGTTGGGATCAAGGATTTGGCTTCATTTATCATGGTAGCTCTATTTGGAATGGGAATGAGCTGTACAAAAAACATGGTTTGCATCTTTCTCAAAAGGAAACAAATGATCTCAGTTCAGAAGTTTTGCTAGGACGTAGTTAAACTAGGAGCAGTGGTGGGGGAGGTGGGGACAAAATGGTGATAAAACATCAATCCAATTGCCCCCCAAAACAAGGATAGAAAGTGCCTGTAGCAAGTGTGTTAAAAAATGATAAGTTTAGAGTCATGTCTACAAATGCTCGCAGGGAAGAAGACAGTGGCGGAACTATCGCAGTCGCAGGGGTTGCAGCTGTGACCGGGTGCCCGCCGCATGTGTTGCGGCCTGCACGGTACAATCGTTGGGGCCACACATTCAGGGGCCCAACAGATTGCTATCGGGTAGGCCCTAACAGCATGGGCTAAGTTTTATCAGGGGGCCCATGTCAGTGTTTAATAGTGGGAACTCTGACTCCTATCAGCCTGAGCAACCACTGAATGGCACCCTCCAGCATCTAAAAGGTAGGAAACAGGAGGGTGACTAATGTATGTGTGTGTGCCTCTGTATGTGTCTGTGTGGCTCTGAATGTGTGTGTTTGTGTCTGTGTGTGTCTTTGTATGTATGTCTCTGTATGTGTGTATATCTCTGTATGTTTGTGTGTGTCTGCATGTATATGTATGTCTCTGTATGTGGGTGTATATGTCTCTGCATGTGTGTATGTCTGTATGTCTCTTTATGTGTGTCTCTGTATGTATGTATGTGTCTGTATGTTTGTGTGTGTATCTATTTGTCTGCATGTGTATCTGTATGTCTGCGTATCTGTATATCAGTGTGTGCCCAGTATATATGTATGTGTGTCACTGTTTGCATCTGTATGAGTGTCATTATGTGCATTTGAATGTTTGTCCTTAAGTGTTTGTGTATCTGCATGTGTGTATCTTTGTATTAGTTTGTGTATCTGCATTTGAATGTGTGTCAGTGTGTGTGTGTGTCTGTGTATCAGCATGTGTGTCCGTGTATGTATATGTATGTGTTATATGGTGTGTAATTGCATGTATGTCAGTGTGTGTTTGTATATCTGCATGTGTGTCAGTGTATGCACGGGTGTGTCTGTGTAACTGTCACCCCACCACACACCCTGCGACACTCACAATACCACAAATCCTGTCACTCACCCTTGCCATACTCATCTCCTATTGCTCTGCCATAATTACCCCATTATACTCACCTTCTCTCGCACTGTCATACTTACCCCCCAATCCTGTCACACACCCATGCCATACTCACCACCCATCGCTCTGCCATATTCACCCTATTACACTCACCTTCTCTCGGACGGTCATACTCACCCCCCCAATCCTGTCACACTTGCCCCTTTTCACTCTGCCACACTCACCTTATCTCATTAACCGCTCCAATTCTGTCATACTTAAGCCCCCAACCATGCCACACTAACCCTGTGGGGTGTGAATGAGACACACGGAGGGGTTAAGGGGCTACGCGGGTGAAATGTATGGGGGGGGGGCCAGGGCAATTTTTGCACCGGGGCCCCATGGTTTCTAGTTACGCCTTTGGAAGAAGATCCATGATCTAGAGGCAATAATGGCAACTGATAATGTAGATTTAGTCGCTGTTACGGAGACACAGCAATACCAGGGTACTCTTTATATAGAAAACACAGGGAAGGCAAGAAAGAGGAGGGGGATGTGGCCCTGTATGTGAAGGATAGCATAACATTTTATAAAAGTAAGTAAGGCGAAAATAGAGTCTGTTTGGGTTAAGTTAGAATTTGGTAATCACACAGTAACTCGTGTAGGTGTGATTTATAGGCCCACGGGACAAATAGAAGTGTTATATAATCTACGAGTTGAGGAAATAGCTAAAATG